ATCTTGCCCCAGCAGGAGGACATCCCATTAACCATTTCCCAAGTGCATGTCCACATGCCTCCACTTCCATCCTGTCTCAGGCTCCTCCCCCAGCTGGGGCAGCCAGAGGACAGCTGAATGTGCTAGGTTCTGGAAGTGGTGTTTTCCTTAATATCCCACTTTCAAGATGCTGCATGCAAGCAATGTAGGTACGGTGGGTTAATGTGCATCGCAGAGATGGCCTGAAGCAACGTGCTTTGTGCCTGCAATCTTGTGGCTCCAGTCATTTTCCATGGGATCAGCCCTTTCAGTCTGGGCCCTGACTTCTTTGCTCACCCTTCAGTCCTCTTTTGGTTGCATGGGAGACTGGAACTCCAGCTTCCACAGCCACTTTTTTTTTAATGGGCTAGTCAGCTGATTGACCTAGAAAGTGCAAAGCCTTGAAATTGACCAACCTAAGCCTGGTTTAATGCAATAAATAGTTGAAAGGTCTATTCCTGGCAGGGAATTCCTTCCCAGTGGCCACTGCTCCTAGGAAAGCCTTGGCTCCTGGCTTTCACTTATCATGGTAGGGTCTCAAGATGGTTTATACTCCCACAGCTCAATCCCTTTCTCAACACCAGCTTTTCACTGGCACTTCCCCACTGGCTGATAACCATTTCATGGCAGCCAAGTTACTAAAAAGCCCTATTTTGTTACTGCCACCTAGATGGTCTTTAGATCAGATATTTGAGCAGTAAACCCATAGTTTCAAGGATGACTGAAACAAATAAGCAAACAAAAAGTTAAGTTGGTCTTTACTGTACAGAGGTAAAGAAAAAATGCACCACATGGCCACAACATTGTGCATGTCAACTGGATGTGCCTTTTCATGTGTCATTGGCAGGGCTGGAATTTCAGCCAAGGGAACCACTACGCATGGCTTTGAATGCTGCATTTTAAACCTGTATGGACAGCTCCACAGCACACACTTGTCCCAAGTGCACAGTAAGGGTTTGCTGTGGGGGCAGCAAGAAATAGGGTGGCATGATTTCCTGGATGGGAGGGAAGCATAGCAAAGTGCATGTATGAATGTGGCCCTAGCGGGATGAGGTGGTTCTTGGTACTAGTGAACTAAACTAATAAAAATCATGCCTGGGTTTGTTTATACAGCAGCCTTCCCTAACCTGATATGTACGTTCAGATATGTGAGATTCACTCCCATCAACTTCAATGAGCATGGCTAGTCCATATATAGAACACCAGGTTGAAGAAGGTTGATTCAGTTCTGGCTGAATTCACTCATTGTGTTAAGCTGTAATATTGCTGATTTGATTTTGGCCTAGTGTCCACTGAACCCAGCCATCATGACTTACAAATGATGAGTTTACAACATAAGAAACTTGTGCAAATTCAGCCTATTATGATTTTGTGGCCATCCTGTTTCTTAGTCACCAAACAGCTGAGAAATACCTTTGGACAGATGGAAGCTGAATGTTGTTGGTTCCCATTTTCATATCCTTCCCTGGGCGCATGTATTTCTTCTAGCCATTTCACAACCAAGAATGCAGTTATATAGAAATCTTGTCTCAAGGTTCAGTCTTTGGTTCCTAGATTAATTTTCTTGGCAAGTGGAGCCACTACACATTAAAAATTACAATTTGTGGAGGAAGAAGAGGATATGTAATTAACAGTACCCAATAAAACTGTGCTTCATAAGAGAAACAAGATGCTTTAGAATGCCAATACCCTCTTATATTCCTTCTTAGATACAAATGGAAGAGCAAAGAAGAAATATACTGTACAGAGCGGTAGTAGAGGAATACAAGATTCAAGTGGGCTTTTATGGTTCTAATCACCACTGAGTTGCATAGCTTGCAAAAGGGTGCTTTGCACAATACATTTAAGTGGATTTATCTCATGCTACTCTTTGGGGTTAATGTTTAACTATCTCCCAAACATTGCACATAGAGAGGCACAGTAACTGCAGAAAGCTACTATTAACATTCCAGGTGTGACAAAGTTGGATTATCACGGCTTAGTTGAGAATTCTATCAGCCACAATACTGCCATCCTATTGTGGGGGTGGAGGGGGTTGATACAAGCCATGGCTTGTGCCTGGGTGTTTCCTTTTCTTTGTCAAATGCAGAGATTCAGAGCACCACAAAGAAAGAACAAAACCTTCAGTGTCGTGACACAAGACTGAACAGTGATTCTAAAGAGAGTGATAGCTTTTTTTTTTTTTTTGCTCATCAATATTTCCAGTAACTAGTTTCTTCATTTTCCATCTGATTGGATTCCAAGCAATGCAATGGCCCAGATGTCACCAGCAGTTCCTCTGTTTGCTCTGTTGGGTGAAAGCAAAGATTGGGCAGGACCTCGCAAGATGTCTTTCACAGGCACCAGTCCAAAGCTACTGTGTCGCACTGGAAATTCAAGAAGCCACTGCAGAGAAAGATCCTGACTCAGCTTGAAGCAATGACCTTTAACAAATAATAGCACACAACCCAGTGGGAGGGCCTGGATTCAACAGTCTTCTCCTGCCCATTCCCCTGAGCAAACTGAGAGGGGATGTAGTGGAAATTGTGCATCTCTAAGCTACTTAGCACCAGATGCTTTCCGTGATGGATGATTTATGCTCAAATGATCAAGAAACAAAAGAAAAACCAAGAAAGAGAGCAAAATTGTCTTCCTTTTGAAGTGAGCTTTCAGTCAACAATCTGGCTAAAAGGACTGAATACTACTGAGCTCTGAAGCTTGCCCAGGATGGCAGTGGCAGAATGCCAAGAGGGTAGGTGGTGGTAAAGGAAAGCACCTGTCAAAGAAGGCCTGGGTTCTATATGAGTTTTGACATTTCTATACCGCACCTATAGCAAGGAGCTTTCAAAACATCCTCCAGATGTGAGGACATGTTCTAACTAGCTAATCATGATGAAGGCCTCCATAGAAACTAGTTGATTTCAATCCACGTGTTTCCTTAATCATTCCAAAAACACCACCCATGAGAGCTGAAAAAAGGTGAATGGTCCAATCTTTTGGTGCCTGCGTAAAATAAATTATAATGTTGAATGCAAACTATAGTCATGGAAAAGAATTATCTTATTCACATAATTACGAAATAAGGCTGTCCAATGGAAAATGCACAAACAATCCTGTGAGAATTAGCCACTCCCCCCCAATAAGTTTAAAAATCAACAGAAAGCCTGTGTTCTTCTGTGTACACTGAATAAAAGAAACTTAACTGCACTTCATTTTTTTCATTGATCTGGGTTGTGGGTCTGTGATGAAACTGTTTTCTTGACTGCACTGGGTATGTGTACAGTCTGGAAACCAAGAGGAGCATCCAACGCATTATACTGCAATTATAATTCAATCTCAAGTAAAACAGTCCTTCCAAAGAAAGGGTCTGTAACAGAAATCTTGGTCTAAGCGCAAATCATTTTTATGCTCTGTCAAACTGTAGACAACTCCTGGTGAATCTATGGATAAAAACTCTCCAAGTGCATAGATTTCTCAACACCCCCAACATTTATTCATAAACAAAACTACAGCAGTTGTGATTTGCAACATTTTTATTTATTTATTTGCTCATTTTATTACTGATATTTTTATGCAACTCTACTCCAAACAGCTCTGAGCACTGCTCTTTGGCCTTCCTAGACAGAATAGGAAAACATCTACTCCTTGTGTGAAGGTTGGAAAGAAAGCTTAAGCTTTTCTGGACCCCAAATCCAGAAATTTGATATTGAATTCGGTTTTTTCCTCTGGAATTTCAAGCACTACAGGAGTGATCAAAGCAGCAGTGGATAAAATGCTAGCATTACCAGCATTATACAGATGCTATCTAGTTCTGTATGAATTCCAGAGTTAGTAAATTCATTTTCAGAAAACAGCAATGGACAACTATTTCTTAGTCATTAGGTTCTTTCCTATTTTTTATAAACTCAGCTGTAAATCTGAAAAAAGCTATGATACATATGAAAGTGCCATTCTTTTCTAGTAGAAAGTATGCTTGTGTGTATCTATGTGTAGTTGGGGAAAGAACACAATCCATAGATTATAATTCCAAATGAAGACGATACTTTTGATAGGATGCAAGTAATTATATTTTCTGTACAAACCTGCATTCAGGCTGGCATCACATCAAATGGCAGAAAAAAAACCCTCAACAACAAAATTGCAGCAAAATGCAATATAAGATTGATCAGATTGCTCATTAAAGACTGAAAAAAGTTGTTATATGCTGAGAGAGAGCTTCAGTGCAAAAGGTGCCTTTTTTTTCCTTTAAAGATGTTTGCCCAACATCCTAATTTTCTCCCCGCTCCCCTTCTGGTTTAATTTAAACTAAGCATAGCTATATTTCCAGACTCTGACATTATGCTTTAGTTGGCCTTCTCTTTTTTAGGACCGGAGGGTAACATTTTCCCCAGGAAAAAGTAATACAGATTGAAATACTTCTGAGCACTCAGGGAAACCATTATGCAGAATAGTCCTGGCTGCAAATGCAAAAGCCACATGATGCTATTCAGCCATTTAAGCTGGAGGTTAGGCTGTTCGTCTTCAGCTGCTGTGCCTGCTCACGCCCACAGTCTGACCTTCAAGAGAGACAGCAGGGCATAGCAACCAGAGGCGCAACCTTCATTTTAATGTGCTCAGCTGCCAGGATCGGGTTAATGGCACCTAGAAGGCTGACGCTAATCAAAATGCTTTTGTCATAGCAGCAGCTGTCCAGTGACCTCTGCTTAAGAGAAGAGACAGCACAGATAGGCCGCAAACATCCAGACCACCGCTAGAGGGCAGCAAAGAGATGAAGAAGAAGAAGATCCTAATGACTGGCTTTCATCTGACGGTCCTCCTGAGTTCTGCAGCCCTGAGCTGTTCCCCACAACCTTTCACAAGCATCACCGGAGCCCTTGCTGTCCTCACCTGTGTGCAAAGCCATTCCCAATCTCCATTCTCCTCCCGCTGTGCCTGTAAAATACATTCCCTATACTTTTGAGTCTTATCACGTTCGAGAAAAGCAAGAGGAAACCCATCCATACCTTCACTCCCACCTTCGGCTCCCGGCTGCTGATGTCACACCTTGAAAGCCAGATGCTCCGCAGAAAGGAGGAACGGATGAACAGGAGAGGGCGGCGGAATCGACTGGGAGTTTCCCACAATGCCTCGCTGCAGGTCTTTGCCGAAGCAAGGGGCCGAAGAGAGGCGGGGAAAGGGTGGAGCGAGGGGAAGAGCTAAATGCAGGGCTGAAAACGATGAGGTAACGTTGGTTAGACTCCCGGGTCGTTTCCGCTGAGACGCACGCAGAGAAAGCAGGAGTTTGGGCTGATGCCATCAGGGTGGGAGATGCCTGCTCAGGGAACGTCCGGTGACGGGCGCGTTTACTTGCAAGGATTGGACAAGGGCGGCTAACTAGCCAGGATTTGATCTTGGAGGCAGGACGTGGGGTGGGGTTTCAGAACGTTTTATGCACCAAATAGCCTGAACCAATGAGAAAGCAAAGTGCTCTTAACGCGTTTATTTTTAATAGCGCCTCTCTGCATACGTCAACAAGATGACTAAATAAAAAGCAGACATTTTAAAAAGCCAGCGATAAAATCATAACGGAACGACGCAGACGGTTGAAAAACCACTGCACGGTATTCGGATCAAGCGGCTTCTCTGCGATACAGGAGAGGCCAAGCGTGAGGCTGGAGCGCGCGCGCGCAGGACCGCGCGGTGCGGCCTAAGGCGAAGGGATGGCCTGGAACAGGGACGGGTTATGTAACGGCAGGGGGAAGCCAGGGCGAGGTGACTCGTGCCGGGATGGCGGGACAGTGGCTGTCCGCTTCCGCTTGCAAAGTAGAGCCATCTCCACGATCGCTTTATTCGAGGAAGCGCGTGTATCTCAAGCCACTTTTCACGGGGAAGGCCCGCACGTGCGGCCTCGCGTGGCTTTGCTTGTAGCTGAGAATGGGAAGAAACGCGGCGGGATGGTCCTCTAGCCGTTTCTCCAACTTCGGTGCTCCCCACCCCACGTGTTCCGCTTCTATAGGTTGCTTCAGTTCATGCACACCGAAGGTTTATTACAGACTTGAAGTGCGCTTCAACGCTGCACCTGTTGAAGTCCCAATATGTCCTCTAAATAGTGGTGCTTTATGGTGTGGTCACAAGGTGATGCTGGACTTAATTTTATCTGAATGGCATCAGTTTTATTATGTCCCAGCTTGGTGAGCCTCCAAATCCATCCACGACATAATGTAACTAATCACCTTCTGCACTTACCTAATAGTTCTAGAAATCAGTTTTGGGTTTCTTTTAAAGGGAACTCTTACCTTAATAGATTGACCATGATAGATTTGTGTGTGGGGGGGGTGCCATCGAGACAGTCTGACTCCTGGTGATTGCCCTTGCCTGCTTCCCGGGGCGGAGAGAGAGTGACTGGCACAAGATGCCCCAGCCGGCCTTCATGCCTAAGGCAGGACTAGAACTCGCATCTCCCAGTTTCCAGCCCGGTGCCTTAACCTCTCCACCAGACTGGCTCTCCGTGGTAGATATTACCCTTTTGTATCAATTGCAACTCTCATTGTTAAAAATAGAAGCTTCTCTGGGTCATCCATCCTCACTAACTTTCATTAATAAGACTAGCAAGAAAGCTTTAATATAATTGAGTTACTAAAGAAGGCACGTGTTCTCTTTTCTCAGCCAGTTATGTTTTCAAACCACAGATCCTGAGAAATTCATGGTTGCATAGGTTGCATATTGTACTGCTTTTATTGCATTTGTCCTTTATACGGTATCCAAACCGTATATTGGGGGAGGGGGGGGCTTCTTGACTTATTTTGGCAGCCCAAATCTTAGGGGAAAAAGTGTTTTTAATTCCGGTTTTATTATTGTCTATTTTTTTGTGTTTTGTTTCGGATTTATGTTGTAAGCCTCCAAAGGAATATCTTAACCCTATGGTGTGAGCCACCTGGAGTCCTTCTGTAACTAAGGTGATATACAAATCAATAACAAATAAATATTGACATCCTTTTAAAACTAATAAATTTGGCATCTCTCCAAAAAGCTTCAGGTGTGTGTTTGCATTCCTGCAAGGAATGATGGTTTGCATCTGGCCACACTTCCTTTTCCTCTTGCGGCTTTATCATTGATACATGGTGCTACAACTCAATTTGGTACCTTAACAGAGCCCCTTTCAAATCTATTCTTTATTTGCCTGAATGATAAAAAGAAATACGTAGAGCAAGATAAGCCAGGAATGGGAAATTTACAAGTGGCCACAAGATGGTAGTAAACTGCATCGTAAACAGAGGGAGTGAAACAAACAGAAAAAAAATGAACAAGGTGACCCTGTTGCTTGTGCAAAAAGACAGAAATTTCTTAAGAATTCAGACAAGAAGAAAATGAAGACTGAATAAAATCACTGGGTCATGATGAGAATCAGGTCATGAAACTACTAAGATGTAACTGGATTCTTTAATCTTTTTACATGGATCTCACTGGGGAAAAGTGGGGGCTGTAAGGGAGTGGTAAGTAGGTGGCTTGTATTTGTGACAATCAAACAACCAGCCAACCCTAACCCATACCCAACTATCTTGTGTATAACTAGGTCTTCAGGGAAACAGATAAACCAGACTGCATTAACAAGTTTCCAGAGTCGGTAAATTTGGATTTCTGCATTGAAGTGATCCATGAATACTTGAAATAGTTTGATTTCACAGAAGCAAAAGGAAACTTGATCTTCTACTCCAATTTGAAATTTCATTAGACATTACCTTAAATAGACACTTGAAATATATGTTGTCATGTTGCTTAATGCTGTGTAAAAATTGAAAACCCTGCCTTTAAGATACATATTCAGCTTGGGGCTTAAGCAAACTGTGCTCAAGTAAGCTCAAAACTGAGTTTGACTCCATTTTGTGGAAGCCCAGCAGACTTTTGTGGATTTTAAAATCACTTTTGCATCATTCTACAGTTCAACATTTTTGTAATGATGAACAATGATCAAATATAAAAGGTGGACTAAAATATTTTCAGTTGACCCCCTCTCTGTTATGTCAGAGAAAGAGGACACCTTTATATATTTGACTTTCATTAATAAGACTAGCAAGAAAGCTTTAATATAATTGAGTTACTAAAGAAGGCACGTGTTCACTTTTATCAGCCACATATTCAAACCACAGATCCTGAGAAATTCATGGTTGCATAGGTTGCATATTGTACTGCTCTTACAGTATTACATCTGTCCTTTATACGGTATCCAAACAGTGTATTTTGGGGGGGAATCAAACTTACCTTTTGGGGACTTCTTGAATGAAATTTCAGCTAGGACATATCTTCTGAACACACTACTGAATGTGGGGAGTCGCTATAGGTCAATAGTCACTGATTTAATTCAATAAAGCCTATGTTCCTATTAATATGAGGGTGACTTAGTCCAACTTGTTATCTTTGATTTTCCAGCCTGAAGAATAAATACATTTTTAATTTAGGTAATTAGTATGAGGATCACAAATAGAAGTAAAAAAAACACAAAAAGATCATGTAGCACTGGAGAATCAGGTTTTAATTCTACTTAGATATTTATTTTACATGACAATACACAAAAGTAATTTTCAAAACTCTCCAGGAGAAAAAATTCACTCTCCTTTTAAGCAGCACTTTAAAAAAACCACAGTACAAGTAGTTTAGGATTCCTATTCAGCAACAGGATATACTAAAAATGTAATCTGAAACTTCATTCAGGAACATCTCAAAACAAAATTGTGTGTGTGCATGAACACACACACACACACAGAGGCCAATGTTGTGAACTGAATCATGAAATGTTATTTAACCAAACAAATGAGTGTTTAACATAAGGAATAACAAGAACTTTTAATATCAGCAAATAAATAGTGAACATAAGATGACATAAAGTTGTCAATTGACATACTATTAACAGAAATTACCACTACTAAAACAGTACATTACAGAAGAGTTGATTGGTCCTTCCTGTTTTTTGTTGAAACTGACGAAGGCCTTAAACCCCAAAAAGTCAGCCTAAGAAATTTTGAAGTAGAAGGCCTACCTGACCTTGAGCTCTCAAAGAAAGTCATCTCTAACAGATGAAGAAAGAGGATGTCACAAGTACATTCCTAACTTAGATTAAGAATGAGGGAGTTTGTCCAAAACCATTTTACCATGTTAATCTACTTCCCTCCAGTGTTGCACTGGACACTAAATCACACACACACACTAAACTGCACCACTAAAGAAACAGTTGTGGGGGCTGAATAACACAGCCAAAGAAACAGAAAAGCCAAAGTGGGTGAGGAAGCATCTGTGGTTTAGGCAAAAAAGAGGAGAACCTGTGCTGCTGCTTCTCTTCAGAATAACATAGGGTCCAAACTCACTAATGCAACAAGAAGAGTCGGTGATAAATCTGCAGGTTCTAAAAATAAAAGAATTACCCCCACGACCACCACTCCACAAAAGCAAATGGTGTAAGAACAATGTCAGAACATTCCCATCTGGAACATCCAGCAGTGCACATTCTTACACAAAAATACAGCCCCATACAAAAAGCTGAACTCTGCATGCCAAAAAAGACCTCACACTAAGAACTCATGTTAAAGTGTTCACTGCATACATGCTTAACACAACATGGATGCCTGGGGTCCAACAGTTTCCACAAAGGCAGGCTCAAAATGAGCATTTTTACCATGATTTAAGAAGGGGCATCTGCCCTCTCTCACACTTGCTCTCGGTATTTGCTCAATTTATTGGAATAACCTAGCTTCAAATGAGAGCAAGAAACATTGTTTTGGTTCACAGAACTGTCTGGTGCATAGATGTTGGCCTTTGTGCATACCTCAAGGTGTTTTCTGGAACACAGAAAGCAGATTCTACATTCCACAAACCATTGTAACAACTTCAGGTGATAGAACAGACCAATTTATGTTGAAAATATTGGTCGGATCAATTCATCTGCCAAGACTCTGTATTATGTATTTTGAAGCTCTCTCACAGCTTTATTCTTTTATAAGTATGAGCCAGAATTCTCTTTCCAGTTCAGATCAACAAAAAGAGGTTAAAAAACAGAACACACAAGGGTTCGCTGCTCTCTCAGAACCTTTTAAAAAGTTTGTCCAGATATACCCTAACGAAAAGGCTCAGGTGCCAGAGACCCCTAAACCCACTGTTGGATACCGACATCAAATCTATTTTCCAGGATTAAATAGTAGTAGTAGTGAGGCACACACAGCATTGATCATAGTTTGTGCTTGTGATACTACAAAGCCACTTTCCCAATTGTTGCTTTTTATACTTTCCAACTCAGCAGACTGTTAGAAATTATATAAAGGATCTTGGGACTTTGTCTCCAAAAACAGAACTGATGGGACCCAAGTTGGTGTAGGCAAATAAGCCAGCAAAAGAAAGATGGAGTGTGAAAATGGGCCTGACCTAAGCAGGGGCTGCAGAGAAAAACAGAGCGGAGTAACTCCCCCCATGCATCCCTATGGGAGAGGCTGCCGGGCAGCTGCCAACTCCT